CTGCAACGGAGCCAGTGTAAGACGGATTGACCCATAATAGCCGGAGGATCCGTTATTGGCGGGTGCGGGAGAGTTGCAACGGCGATGTCGTCAGAAAACATGATGATGATGTACGTGTAAGTGCCGCTCGGCATAAACGACGATCCCCGTTCTGAAACGACGCTGTACCTATGTGTCAATGCGAGAGCCTATCGAATTGGCCTTCTCGTCAACGAGAATCTGGTAAGAAGAAGGAGGCAACAATAAGGCATCAATTCGAGTCGCAAAACACTGGAGCTGTGGTTGTATTCAAAAATTAAATGTGCCAACCAGAGGCGTTGAGACGTCCATTCGGCCTTTGAGCCGCAGTTGGTAATGGAGGGTACGAATCCACGTGGTGCAACCACACCAAAAGGAAAAGAACCTGAAATGTGATGCTTCCTCATCTCGGGAGAGGGAATTGCAAGACAAACGCCCAGCTTGTAGCCGACCGAGGGATGTGTAAGACGAGAGATTGTTTCGTCAACACGACCTCAGAATTGTTGAGATCAACTCCCTTCCTTGCAACAAAAGAAAAGAAAGAACGAAAATGCTGATTCATCTCACTGTGTAACCAACAACAACCTCAGGCTGGGTACCATGTTCTCTTTTTGGGCCAGAAGGCATGTGTAGTCGCGTTGCACGGCATTTGCATGTCAGATATCACAGCCGCCCTGCCTTTGTCACACCCTCAGCCCATGGTACACCAAAGGCTGGACCAACAAGCGACGAACCGGAAGGGCATCTAACGAGAGTGAAAATTTATTTTTTTGCTGGTGAGACCATGAGACGGAGAGTGGCTCGATGGTCTCTTGTCCCTGGAATGTGAAGAAACAAGCTACAAGTATCCGTACAAGCAAAGAAAAAGGTTTAGCCATTGTTTTGTTTCTAAAACATGCGGTTGGAAATTAACTACCACCCTGCAATGATACTCGGTTATCCGTACATCCAATTCAACGTCGTTCCGTGGGCCCGAAGAGCCTCAGAGATAATGAATGCCGAGATGATACCCGGCAGTGGGGGTCCAATTGGTTTGCGGCCGTTGAAGGGAAGATGATGAAAGCAAAAACAAATTAAGCAAGACCTTGATGGATATGTTGCTGTACAGATACTGCTGGTCAATCAATATCTAGAGTTGTGTAAAACGTCGTGCTTGGGCAGTACACTATGGATACCAATGGCGAAGTAATGCAAAGCCACAATGGATAATCATAACCAGGAATTTGCACTCGCTCACTATTCAACAGAGCCAATTGCCTAATTCCAGCTTACACAGATATCGATGAAGCAGATAATTATATGCCGATGCTTAGCGGAGCAGGCCGAAATGCCCAAGATCAAGGTAATTTGAGTTTCCTTGACGATTAATCAAGGTACGTAGAAAGGAACAAGGCATGGGTCGGCATGAAATTGGCGCGAGGCCGACGTCACCCAGAAAGAGAACCTAGAGATTGAGGTGAGTTTCCAGGCGACACAGCACGACACAGCATAACTGCAGTAGAAGCCTACATGCATTAGAGCAAAGTAACTGTACAACGCACTGCCTGCTACCGCAACCGCAACCACAACCTCCGGGCCGAACCCGACGATCAGAAGAAGTTTTTTTCTTTCGCCTTTACCTTGTTAGGGACAGGCCATGATTAGTAGCCAGGCACAGACAGGTACAGGGCACAGGGTTTGGTATTGGATGTTAGCGGTAACTTATGGGAAGAGGAAAAAGGGCTGCCACGTAGGGAGACCCCATAAACTAAGGCGTCAAGGATGAATGAGTGAATGAAAGAAGATGAAAGAATAGAAAACTTGGATATTCTATTCACTCCCTTCTTCAAGTCTCAGACTAAAAGTAGGATGATCGATCGGGATGCAAATGGACGTAGCGCAGGTGCCATCATCGTGTCATATACCAGGCATCATTACTTGGTAATTATTAATATCATGAACTAATAAAGTAACAAGTGAAGCGAAACAAAGCATGAAAGAGACTCCATCGTCCCGAAACAGCCCACATCGCTCCATATTATGCTTCTCTCTTTTGATTCTGATGCAAAGCTCAAGCTCACATCAGCTCAGCTCAGATGCCGAACGGAATCTTGGGGTTTCACTGCCGGATCCAAATCCAAAACAATCGAGAGGAACCCGTCTGGCCATATGTGCCGAGTTAAGAAGGGAAAAAAAAAGGAAACAAATTCATCGCAACAACAGCCCATAATGATCACATCAATATCATATCATATCACATCAAGCCCATCGGCATATCAGAGGGCAATTGTGCAGAGGCGAGACTAGCGTCAGATCCCCCAGACGAGAGAGAAGAAAAGCTGGAGATATGCAGTGATGAAAAAAGTCCGAGGTTCACGTTTACACAAACGACTCCACGCCTTGGAATCTCACGATGGCCGGGCCCTGCCGATGACTATGATGTAGATCTCGGCCGACAATCCCTAAGTTTGTTGTACCGTTTACGTACTCTAAACCAAGTGCCCCGTGCCAATGGCAAGTCAATTATGCGCCCTCTCCCTTTTGGTTGGAAGATGCAAATCTTCATATGTCGCCCTTGGTGGCTCTTGGTTGGGCCTTTACACGCCCATCATCCCTCCCTATCACCACATTCATCACTCCTGGGAAACACTCAACGAAGAAACATGCAAAAACTTTTTCCTACACCGTTACAATTAGTGTGACTTGCATTTCAGGGTTTTGTTTTTTTCACAAGGGTCATAGCTTTATTTTGCATTGATGGTCCCCTTTAATTCACTGCTGTGAAAAAGAAAAATGTCCACTGTAAGCGTAACAGTTAGGGAAAATTCCTCTTACACGTGGGATACCCTTGTTGCTAGCTCAGATCATCCAGTCCGGTCGAGCATCGCCGATTGAGGATGGACGATGCGATGCGCTGGCACTACGATCAAGAGCAAGTCTCCATACCCAACTAGCGACTTTTGACCATTTCAACCTTTACGGTCCCGCTCTCAGTTTGACGGTCAAGAATCCCATTGATGGCTGACCGACCCTCTTTGCTCCATCCGATGGGGCCCGTACCTGTTGGTGTTGAACCAGGTTTTCGGGAGGCTAAAATCTTGGACTTGGTCAAGAGGGGATGAAAGAGATCGTCCAGACATTGAATCGAAGGGTGATAGAATAAAACAGTCACAATGGGTGGTAGATGTAGAGAGGCAGTGGTTCTACTTTTCTGACCCAAAGCTCGGTAACATGTCCCGAATATCTGCATCACCTACACAAGCGGTGGAGGGAACTAGAGGCTCTAGTTAGAGGTAGGTCACCACTGAGCTAAAACCGATGCCCACAAAGAAGCTTTTTCTTACCTCCCAGTCGCTATCTAATATCGCTCCCTTATCCCCTATCAAGGGCCTTGATGGGCGGGATCTCCAGGGGGGCAAGTAAACGAGAGGACATGAAGATGTCACCAAGCGGGTGTCCCTTGAAGCTTAACGCACAACAGACTTTACATCGCACGAATTGTTGATATCGTGATGATGGATAGCGTCGGGTACTAGCCTAGCAAAGCATGTACCACGTACCTACCTACTTCTGTGGCATCATGCTGAATGAACGAGCACGTTTCACTTTCGGCCAAGGTCGGGAGTTAGGAGTTGGGAGTAGGAACTGACTTTGAGCCGCATGACACCAAGGCCCCGTTCATCGGCGAGGCGAAAATAAACAAAATATTACCAAGGCTCGTAATGTAGCCCACGAGGATATTCAAAGTCTGCTCCTGTCTCCAATCTTTAAGATTGAGTGTTAGTCAAACGCATGTCTCCATATGTTTCGCAAGGGGGGGTTCGATCGCCGGCCATCGGAGTTGCTATGGCTCATACAGCACATAGGTAATTAGATAGTCTCGGACAGTCTATTCCCATAACGAGTCTGGGAAACGGAGCTGAAAACACTCTTTGAGAGTTAGGTAATTCATGACATGGTTTCTGACTGTTGCGATCCATCAGTCTCCTGTTTCCCCTTTTAGAGTTTTTACCCTCCCTGGAGGAGGAGCCTTATGCTTATGCGTATTCGTTAAGCGGGTAGATGTTAGCTTCAGCAATGCTGAGAGATTCGAGTGCCCGCTGTAACTTGGATTGTCGCTGCCATGGAACACTGACACGCGTGGGCCTGGATATGCTGAGTCACTGCAGCTTCGTAGTCGACACATCCCAGTCTCTCCCTGGCGGTGACTGTCGACTTGGAAGTAAAATCCCCGAGAAAAGCAAGCATACCCACATAGTGTATGTAAGTCTTAGATACTCTCAACAGTTATGCCCTTCAAAGAAGAGTGACTTTCAAGGGAGAGGAAACAAAACACGGACGATTTATGCCCACTTGTACACGTAGAGATGGCTTGTTTTGTGTGGAGGGAGAAAAATAAATCTCTTTGGCTATAGTATGCTATGGTATCCAATCATGTGATATGCTGTGCAGTGTAGTGCAGTCTTCCACAGTTCCTGTCAATGCCCAATAGTCAAAAGCTCAGTTATGCCTCCCAATGAAATAGTCCACCGACCGGCTTCATGCCTGGTCGGTCCTGTACGCCTGACCCAAATGTCCCCAGCCGTCGTGTCCCGGTATCATGATGACCTCCCGTGCTCCCTTAATCCATGCTCTGAAACTTGGTATGATAGTCAACCCGCGCTGTATTTGGTACAATATACCCTTCATGGTTCCCGTACTCGGTGAACACATGGACAAAAAGCCACCCAGATGATCCCGCCAGAAGTTGGTCGAGAAAAGAGAAATCGTGATGGGTCGATGTAAAACAAACTTTTTTTTAATGCAATGCTCCGGTGTAATGCCCTTCTTTGATACAAACAAATTCTTGGACAAATAAAAAGAGAAAGAAAAAGGCGTGCGTTGTGAGCTGATGATTCGTGTTTAAGCGTTCGATATTGTGATGTTGAATGAGTTGCGTGGTGATGTGTTTTTGGTTGAGGTTGTGTGTTGATGTTTGTTGATGTGGTATAGTGGTGTCGTGCTTAGTATGATCGTCTTCGCTGAGTCCTCACGTTGTCGAAAGACACTGCGTATGCTCGGAGCTCCTTCCTCGCCTTGTCTGACAGCTGGCTTGACTCTCCTGTTGTTGATGTGCTCTGCATGGAGCAGAGGCTGCTGTGGGAGCTCGAAGGGGTGAGGGATCGGGTTGACTGCTCAGTGCCGTAAGGCTTGATAGTGGGTTGGCTCATGTGCCTTGATCCGTATGGCTTTGCGTTGGAGAAATCGTAGGCGGGAGATAGGTAGAAGCCTGAGCTGGAGGACTTCGATGACCATTGGCAGGGAGGAGAGTTGAGACCTGGAGAGCTGGCTTGAGAGCTCGTCGTTGACGTCTTCTCGAAGTCGGCCAGTCTGCAAGACTCGGAGCAGTAAGCATCAGTTGATGTTTGCACCTGCTTGTCGCAAGCAAGGCAGAAAGAGTGAGCCCAAGAGTCGAAGTCCATGGCTGCGGTGTTGTGTGGTTGTTGAGAGTAAGGGTAGAAGATGTGTAAAGGGATTAACCCAAGAGGCAGGAGAGTAGAAACACTTTTATGTCGAAGTAGTTTTGAGTGAAGTCAATAGTTTGATAGAGTATAGAAGCAATTGAAGACTTGTGTAGTAGGAGAGTTGAGATGATGGGAGGAGATCAGAGTGAGAGAGGTTCGAGGGGAAGGGTTATGTATATTCTTGGTCAGTGGCCCAGGCACAGCCTTGGTCGATGATCAGTTGCACGACCAGGATTGCGCTAGAGGTACATTACCTAGGAATTCGTGGAGGAGGGTACCAAGGCACACCACTTCTCCACCCCAAAACAGTACGTACTGATAGATTTTCGCAGGCTAGTGGGGGGCGCCTTGCCGCTCTCAATGCCCTGCAGCAAGATGTTAGTGTAGCAAGGATCCAATAAGAGTGGTACGTACTGCTTAATGCTGAGAAGACCTGGTCCACTTTGGACTCTGGTCGGACGCCCGTCGGGCGTGGGTTGCTTCTCGTTTCAATGGGGGTGTGATAAACACGCCGGGGTGTCCTACCACTCCCAGGGAGTGTGTTGGAGTGTTGGAGAGGGAGTGCCAGCATTGGCATTGACATCGACATTGGCAATGGCGAGAAGTGGAGATGCGAAGGTGCAAGACGTGCCCTGTCTTTCAGCGAACTCTTGCTGCTCTCTAGGGCCATACTGCGCTGCTGTCCATCGTAGAGCAGAGGACAAGACAAGCCTCCACGACAAAGAACCCAAGACATTTAAACACCAGACACAGGCGTGTGATTTTGCTGGAGACACAGTACCCTACTGCACTTGTTAACTGACTGTGCTCTGACCAAGCAGTGTCCTGTCTTGCCCTACCCAACCTGACCAACGCTACGAGATTGCGATGGATAGACGAAAAAATTTCCATCATTGATTTATGCTCTACTCATACCCACGAGAGCTATGGAAGCTCAAAGAGGTGACTCAGATGGGTGCTGAACGGGACCTTGAGGGTCCCGGATCCCACCGCAAAGGCATCAGCCGAGATTTTTCGCTGGGGCCTGAGCTGATGAACACCATAGCGACACCGGAGGTGGGCTGTTGGTCGCTTCTGGATTCCGTTACCTACCGTGCAATTCTGCACGGTTCTGCCCGCTTGCTGAAGCTTTCGGAGTGCCCCAAGTGTCCCCTCCCCGCAAGAAGAGAGGTTGTGCTGCACAAAGGGTGCTGGACCCCCGTGCCCTCCGCTCTTAGTGGTGTGAGGCCTGCCCGTCGGTGGTCTGCTTCCAAGCTTCGCATCGCAAAGTATTATTCCTCATGGGATTTTATTGCTGGCATTCTGTTTGACCCAGTGCCCACCCCGCTCATAATGGTCAATGGATGTCGTCGTGAACGAAATTCGAGTCCAGGGAGGGGTTACAAGCGATTGGTAATACTGGTGCGCGCCCTAAGCTGGTCTATTTCTCCCGATATGACTGTAAGCTGCTCTGTGCTTTGCTGTAAGCTGCTGCTACTGCGCCGTAGTACAATCTGCTTGGCGTTGAATATGTTTCCATTGCTTCAAGATGGACTCTTGCACTGCGGCCCACAGGAATGGGACGGACGGAAGCCTGAGGCAGGAACACGGCTGCGATGCGCCCGCAAGAGCAACGCGATGGGTCTAGTGTCCTGGTGCTAAGCCTGTAGAGGTATAGTCATTCCTAGGCTTTCCTTCCCCAAACCCCTGTTGCCGTCTCTATCTCCATCTCTCCTGCTCTCCACTTTTAGCTGCTTCACGTCTCGTCTTCTCCACCTCAAAGCACGCAAATAACCACTGCTTTTAACAACGTGCTCTTCAAATGTTGCTCTCCTTTCAAGGTCAAGCTAACCTTGCCGATTTGCACGACTAGCCAGTCTCCGTTGTGTTCCTGGAGGGGAGAATTTTCGATATCAAATTCTCAATTTCGCTACACAAATTGACCAATCAGTACGGTACAATGAAGCACAAATACGGCACGAACATCCATATTTGCTACATCTCTGGTACTCATTCAATGCAGCAGTTCATAACCAGACACAACCTCATATACATCACACAGTCAAGCGCGTGACTCCAGCCCGGTAGTGTATTGCCTATATAGAGCCAAACAGACGCGCAACCAGATTTTGTGAGACGCTCGAAACGCTCAATGCTACAGGAAGTGACGCCATCTTTCGCAACTATGTTGCCGGATTGCATGTTCAATCTGCAGACTACGTCGAGCCTATCTTGTGGTCTACCCCAGCTTCCCAGAAGAGCATCCCGAGTGTATTACCGGGTTTACGGATGTTGTATCATCTGCAGCAGCCAGGCTATTCAACAACAGTTTCGACTGCCGCTCTGCCACTATCAAACCTTTGCCGTCCTGCGTGAAGTCTGTCACATAATTGGTTCGTCTTTGACACCTTTATGGCCAACAACCCAATGGCCATCAGGCGCTACTATCAACAGTCCTGGTTCAAAGTCCCATTTCGCCATCATACCTTGAGGAGGCGAGCATTGCTGAAACTGTCAACCTCAACCAATAGTGTAGGGTCATGGTAAACACAACCACCACCACAATTACAATCCGTGCATCGCCTTGCCACGAAGGAAGTCAAGGTTGCTGTCGACTACAGAATGATCAGCAATGAAAGATCAACCAACCTTCTCAGAACCTGAACCCTTGATCTCCATCGCAGATTCTGCGAAAGAAGAATAAAAATCTTCACGTCTTTGCCACGAAGCATGACATCCTGATGCGAGTTGATCTCAGAGGCGTTACAAGGCTTCATTGTTTGGCATATCCCGGATCTGTTAAGCTGCACTTTAACCACTCGGACAATTCAATCTCCTGGAGGACAAGCTATACCCAATTCCTAATCGCCTCGAAGAATGTTGCCAATATGGCGTCCCTTGATTTAAGAGCGCATTGTACCCGCTAGTCTACCCGTCAGTCTCCTGAAGTAGCGCTTGTGTCAGTTGAAGCGTCGATGACCTAAAGAACCTTTGGGCGCTACGGGTCAAATTAGCCTGTGCGTTGCGCATCACCCCCCGTTCCCGGGAATTGTACGGAATACCGTCGAGAAAAACACTGACAATGGCCGCCTATCGTGATCTTCAGAGCCATGCGGCGTTGATCCCCTCAGTGCTTAATCAAGCCATTCCATTTTCGATTATACCTGCGTCTGGGGGCGGAGACGACAAGGGGCATTGAGCGAATCGTTTTCTGCTCTTGATCTGCACCCCATTCAACTGCATCCCCGTCTTGATACTGCCACCTGACCACTTATTCCAACCTCTTCAAGAACAACAAGGTCGCATCGTGTATCACGGCCATTTTCCTGCTCCGGCTTTGTCGTCTATCACTAGCGGGTCAAGCTGCGTGTGTCTGGGGTGCATGAAGAAAACAATGATCATGGTTGCTCTTCGTAGGGTTGTTAAGTTGCTAATACGGTTTCCCCAGATTCTGGTGAAATTCAGAAAGCTCTCGTGGGCATCACAAACGTGCCTCAAAGTCTACCAACATGATACACATTGCTGTGCCCTTGGAGAAATGTCTAATTATTGCGCTACCCGAGGTGGTTGTGCTGTCAGGTCTTATCTTACATGTTCACTAAGACGATGATGGAGACGTGAACGAGTGCGACTTCTTCGAAATATTACCCGTCAGTACGCCCTATTAATCGCCAATCAACCTATTTGCTCCGCATGGCGGCATTTGTGCTTGGTTCCATTTTGACTTTTGGGCCTCAATTATGAAGATTGAGATTACCTTCCAGTCCACAGAGTCGATGATCCTCCAGCTACCTAAGAGACGGTAGTGCATTTGTGAAAAGTGACAGTTATCCTCCATCAAATCAAAGCTTCACGCGTCAGCGCTGATCCCACGATATTCTCCGGCGCGTTGACGATCTGGCCCAGGGATAGCACTTGAATATATTGAAGCGCCATTTCTTCATCTTGCTTATACAGCGACAACTGGAGCAAATTATTCCAGTGGTGATCCCCCCACTCACTTGACTGATATTCAGCGTCCATGTTACATTTGTTACCACTGCTCTCCAGTGGCAGGGTGGTAACTTGAACGCCCGCAGGAGTATGAGCAACATATGGCGCAGGTAGAATGCTTCATTGCACAATCTACAACTCTACGTAGTGTTTCTTGATAAGATGCACAGACGAAAAGGTCCCCCACGATCTCATCAGTTCGTCCAAGCTTAGTAGTGCTCCGTCCCTAGCTCCGTCGGACAAAGCAGCAAGATTGGAAGTTGATCCACGACACGGTTCCAGCCGCTCAGCCCGCAGCCAGGACATGAACTCTATTCCCCATATCGTATGGGTCTAGAACGGCGAGCCTTATCATAACCCAGGAGAGTTAGCCATCAACGCCGAGACTCGTTGAATATCAACCCGTCTCACTGTTGACCTAACATGCGCCGTGTTGATACATGATGGTGTCAAGAATCAAAAGGCTACTGCCTAAGCTACTTACTTTGGGATACAGGGGGACAAGGCTCGATGCACAAGCCTCACGGGCGGGAGCAAGGGAACTCCTTCATCCGCTAACTCAAACGATTCAAGTGAGTTCGCGAGGGTCTATATCCCTCCATCTCGTTTATTTCAGAGGCAGGCTTGTATAAACAAGCTTGCAGCAATCTCAATTCCTCTTGGCAGTGCTCTTGTGTACGGGAATAATTAGATAGCACGATATCCATGTAGATTACAACGCCAATCTTATGTCTCTTGTATAAGCGAGCTGCTGAGGACGGGAGATAGCCAGCCTCATGTCCGAAAGGTACATTTTGGAATTTTTGGTGACATTGATTCGCCCATCGCTGCAGGTTAATACTCCCAAAGAAGATTAATGCAAAGAATCAGACACGATGTTCTTCCGTGTTGGGTATTTGTGGCGTTCTCACCCATCCCAGAACAATAATGCGCAACCTCAGCTACAGTTCTTCTCAGCCAGTCAAATGTGCAGAGTCCCTTCGAAC